TTTACAGGTTTGGCTCCTTCTGGGGCATTTCTTCTGAGCTCGCTGATCACTGCCTTCTTGCTGTGTCTTAACGTGCGTTTCCCCTGTGCACACACATCTCTACTGTCTCTCCCACTTCTTATAATAACACTAGTTATATTGGGTTACAGCCCACCCATATGACCTTATTAAGCCTTAATTACCTCTTAGAGGCCCCATTTCCACATCCAGTCACATTCTGATGTATGCTGGGGTTAGGGCCTAAACATATAAACCTTACGGGAATACAGTTCAGCTCATAGCAATTTTATCTGTGAAACTGAGGTTTGCTTATGTTTATTTGTTCTTGTTTTCCACATGAAGACTCAGAAAACATCTCTAGCTGTGGAAACTAGTGCTGGACTCATATTTTGAAGACGTTAAATGACAGAGAAAAACACATGCGTCCTAGTTTTGTTCTTGATTTCAGGTAGTAGTTCAGGGATCCCATGCATTGTGACCAGTGAAGATAAGACAAGCAGGGCCGACACTCAATGGTTTCAAATGAGTGAGCTAACAATTTAGGATCACCTGTGAATGGATTAAAGCCTAGCTGTGGAATTCAACAGATATCCCCTTGCTGGACACCATGAAGCCGGGAATTGTCTAAATCAGGGGTCGGCAACCTGCGGCCCACAAGCCACATGTGGTTCTTTGGGTACATTCCGTCTCAAAAGTTTGCCGACCCCTGGTCTAAACGACAATAACAACAGTATTCTCCTTCTGGAATAGAAAAAGATGTTTTGGTTGAAAAATAAGAATATAGATTAATAAGGAGAAAATTTAAGTGGCAGGAACTAGAGCAGGGTCCTTTCTCTTTCATTCTCCATGTTTTTTTTTTTTTTTTAGTGATTTTTTCCTGTCTGAATAGGATGCATCCACCCAGTGCCCACATGCTGCCTTCCCAAAACAATGGAAATGTAAACATACGTTGGACCATTTTTAGGTACCAGACTACCATCTCCAGTGAGCAATTCCCAAGGAGCTTTGAATTTTGTAAGGACTGCTCAATACGACTATTGTATCCTGTCCATAAACTTATAGTATCATTTATTTCAGAGGTGATTATTTGGCAACTGGTAAAACCTGGCTTTATGTATTATAGACAAGGAGAAATGTATCAATATGGTCCATAGCAATACGTTTGGGATTAACCACCTTGAAGTTGACAAAGACATTTTAGCTACAAGACCCTATCAAGACAAATTCACATCAAATACCAGTGAGCTAGTCTCTACCACTCTTACTCTACTCTCAGATAAAACATAAAACAAAAATCAAAACCAAATAAACCTGTTTTAATTATGTATTTTTACGGAAGTATAAGGTGACAACATCACACATTTATTTGAACATGCTTTTTTTATTTTTTTTTAATTTCAGAAATACATTGGATTAATACATTCACATTTTAAAGGATATAGATATATGATGCTACAACAAAATGTTTGCATAAGTTTGTTGTTGTTTTTCAGTCAATAGGTGTGAACTGTAGAGCAAAATAACATTCACATAATATGCTTGTTTCCATATACACTATATTTTGTATTCACTCATTCTTTCATTGTTACATATGCTAATTTATTCATTAACTCAATAATAGAAAAATCATTTGGTGCCAGCCACTATATTAGGCATTGGGGATATAAAATGAAGCTGTAGTGTTTCTGTCTTCAGTCAGGTCACAGTCTAGTGCTACCAGTGTTACCCACCAAATCCTTTTTAATTCCTGGTGATAAAAAAATTAAAATTTCACTTTGGGAACTGGGACCCCTATAAATGCTTCCTATGATGCCTTTTTTGTTGGTGGAACCATGACATAGCTTGGAGGAAGTTGACTGACTGTGTATAAAAGCAGAAAAGTGTCACTTGATGACTGAGGACCATTTCTGTTATTAGCCTAGCAGCCACCTCAGGTATCTCAAGTGCATTGAGATTTTAGCACTCATGAAAACTTGGGCAAGGATCATGTTGGCTCCTCACTTAGTGGTTCTCTGAGCAAAATAAAAGGGTGGCAGGCATTGTGTAGGAGGCTGGTTAATGATTCCTGTTTTCAGAGAAACATAAGGTGGCTTTTTTGTGGAGGAGGAGGAGGAGGAGGAACCCTTAGCTATGGGGTATTAATAATTATCGCTGGTTGATATTTAGAATAAACATGCTCAGTAACTTTACATAATATTTACTTTTTCTCCTGGAAATAAAATACTGATTGAAGTACTTATTAGAGTAGAAATATTCCCAATACAAGCAAGATGCTAATAGCTGCATTAAAATAATATTAATTTAACCCTGCATGATTTATTGCAATTGTCGTATATATATGCAACGTGATTTGGGATGTAAGCAATATGACATAGTTTTGAAAGATGAAATTAGTATTTCATAGTATACTATTAAATTATACCTAATAAAGAAGAGAGAAATGATTCAATTACTCAGAAGAGTTTTAATGTATAGAATCTAAGTATTTCAGTTGTCTTCATTTTGTGCCTAATAAAAGCTTAACACAAAATTAAAATATTTATACTATATGTTATAAGAAATCATATCATAAAACTATGTGAAAGATCTCTTAATCATAGAAATTGTGTTATTTTTGAAAACTGTATTCTTAACTAATAGTTTAAAAACAAATTTCATGTATGACAATATATTTAAAAGTATAAATTAATATGTCTCCATAACATTTTTTTTAAGCATAGGATTAGATTACATGATTTTTTAATTTAAAACAGAAAGCATATTTAAGGATAATGTTGTTCAATGCTTGTATTTTATGGATGGTGAAACCAAGGCCTGGAAAGATTATATGTCACATAAGTTAGTTAAGTGTCAGGGTTGGTACCAAAATCCACTAACATCTCCCAGTCTAATATTTTTTCACTTGTTTTGGGTATGGGTTGGTTTATTTGCAAGTAACCACAACACTCTCAAAAAAGGGAGGGAAAATGTCATCCAGTCCAAGTGAAAGGAGCGCAGCTGGACATGAAGTCCATGCATGGTAACCTCCTCTTGCCCACTCTCATCTCTGTTTTCTCTGAGTTCCTTTTCTGTCACCAGTTTTTTTGGCAAGGCTCATAGTTTTCATGCCCTGAAAACACTAGTTCGTAGATATCTGAACAGAGAAGCCACTTGCTCATGCAATGCTTTGTATGAATTAGGAGCTGCTGCCCCTCCAGGGCAATATAGCCCAGTGTGTCTGTGTACCACATGAGCCGATGGCCATGGCCTGTCTCCCCATGACCTTACCAAACCTGGGTCCATTATCGATCCGCCTGACTCATTTTTTTTTAAAGATTTTTTTTTAATATCAGGCTTTTTTTATGCAGCAAACATTGCAAAAGTTGTCAAATAGTATGAATTTTTTAAAAAATGAAAGAAATTTGCAAAATCACATTAATTTTTTAAATATTATTTGGAAGCAATATGATTTAATGGGAAAAGCGCAGAATAAACAATTATGAAGATATGTTTCTCTAGTCTAAAGTCCACTATTAACTATGTGGTCTTTATTTAGTTATCCTTGTTTCATGATTACTTCATTTGTGATAAAAAGAATAATTCCACAGACCACAATGACATACTTATTTAAAGTGAATTAAAAAATTATATATGATTCCTTATAAAATAAATGTTCCTTTCATTCCCTTCCTTCCTTCCTTCCTTCCTTCCTTCCTTCCTTCCTTCCTTCCTTCCTTCCTTCCTTTCTTCCTTTCCTCTTTCCTGAACTATAATGGTAAAAGTTGAGGACTCTTTCTAGAACTCTGGCAACAAGTTTAACTTTCTGAATAAGTCCTTTATTCTATACAGAAGCAGGAGGTCATTGCTTCTTATCAATATTACTAGAATTATTTAAATAAATTTGGATACATCATGTAAAGCAATTTTGAAGTCCAAGTAAAGTTGTTCAGTGAAATCAGAAAAGAATGCTGTGACTATGCCTTGGATATACTGAATGATTACAGTGAATATTCCTCACAATAATACTATTTTTTATTTTTTTTAACAAATAAAAGTGAGTGTATGTATAAAACATAACAAAGTAAACTGGAATTCTACAGACCCCTTTGATGGTATCCTAGCAATACAATACATAACTAAAGAGCCAAACAACAAAAAGGGGAAAACAATCTCAAGAAGAAAGAATAACAAAATTTGAACCATTGGGTCAAAATATCTGCTTAAGAAATGATTGCATATTACATGTCCATTATTATTTTTTTACATATGACATAGCTGTTTAAATGAATAAGAATGTACCATGAAATGTAGATCCATGCTTTTTAAAAGATGTTTTTAAATTTTTATGTTACTATAGAGATGAAATTTTTAAATGTATACAATTTGTTGTTTTAATACTTATTAACCCCCATGATAGTATTTTGTAAAAATCCAGGCCTCTTTAGCAATTTAAATAAACAGGTATATAATTCACACAGTATTGATTTCAGTGTCTTTTCAAAAAGTGGATCACAGCAAGAAGCATCTGATGCGTTTGATAAATTCACCCTTTAGACAGTCTATTTGTCTTTGTAAAAGATGGATGTATAATTGAAAGGAAAGGTGTGCTTTAGTTNAGGGCAATATCACTGGCCCTCATATGTGGGATCCAAACCGGGGCCCTCTGGCATCCCAAGCCAGTTCTTAACCATCGCACCACTCGGCCGGCCCTGCCTGACTCATTTTTATGTTTCCATTCCAATTTCTGACTGGCCCTACTTATGTCAAATGTTTAGTTTACAAGGTGGCAAGCATGATGAAGAACCCCAAACTTACCACACATGTATGTGACAGGGAGAAGCAAAGGATAGTTGAAATTTGATGTCAGGAAATCTTGGCCTTACATTTGAAGTATCTGCTTATTTTAAAAGAAAAATAAAACGCATAAATAAGAGTCATCTTAATCACATTCATGAAATGGCAGTATATGGACTTCTAATGCATATGATAACATTTTTAATAATTTGTTCTCCTCTTTTTAGCTTTCCTTATTGGAGAAAGCCGGATTTGGAGGTGTCCTTCTCTATATCGATCCCTGTGATTTACCAAAGACTGCAGATCTTAGCTATGATACCTTCATGGTGTCACTAAATCTGGGAGGAGATCCTTCAACACCTGGTTACCCAAGTATCAGTAAGTTCCTCATTAATCTTTATTATTCTTGTAAGCATTACAGGTTTGCAGCTTATAAGTGCATGCTACCTAAATTAATTCAGGGGTAGTAAAGTAAAAGAATTCTTACCACTTCACATTTAAAAAGGTGATATTTTTGTCTTCTCAAATGCTAGAATACTCATTGTTTGGAATAAAACTTATTAAACAAAGTCTTTAATAGACTTTTTTGGTCCTCATAAATTGTAGTATCGTGAACAAAGAGAAAACAAATTTTACATGGTATGATCAATAGAATAATAAGATAAATGAATGACATGTGTGACGGGCACTCCCTGTAGGTGGGAAAAATGTACAGATACCTAGAAGTGTGAAGTGTCTGCTGCAGTAGGGTAGCTGTAATAAATAGAAGCCCAGAGTCTGGAGGTACACACCAGCAAGTTATGTGACTAAAGTAATGGAAAATAATGTTTGAGAAGAATAGAGTTCATATGATCAAATTGTCTGGCTCCCTAAGAGAAGGGATCTCATTGGTTGGGCCAGTCTCTGGGAGCAGAGATGGCCATCTTTGCATTAAGCAGGCTTCTCTTTCCCAGTAAGTTGTGTTCATGATTGTGGGCATCATGTGGCAGAGAGAGGACAACTGTGACTTTGGCAGGGGCTCACTACATCATTGAATTTCTGTCCACTGTGTCACTGACAAATATTATAGAGTTGGCTGAAGAAAAACCTCTTTGGACCTTCTTCCAGTGTGTCACAAACCCATTAACCATGACACTTCAACCAGTAATTAAACTAACATAAAATTCATGTAATTATCCAAGTGTTCTGCCAATATTTTTCTTGTTTCCCACAAAATACCACAAAAGACTTGACTAATTATCTTCTCAAGTCCTGCCATTCTGGACTTCACCAATCAATCAATAACTTTCCCCAAGAGAGAAGTAAATTGAGTCAAATATGAGTTATAATTTGTGTTTTGGGGTGGAATCTACTGAGTACTGCTATGTTTTCTAAAATACCCCATTAATAATTCATGTAAGAATTTTATCTGAAACTTCATAGCTCTGTAATTTGTACAGTCTACTATCACATTATTACACTTTTGAAGTTGAAATTATGAGGTGCTCATATATAATTTCCGGACATCACTGAAAATATCAGTTCAGCTCTCTTATTTGCAAATGCTTTAAATTCTTGGGATGTAATGCCTCAGCTTCAGGAGGTTGCAGGTGGCACTAACTAATGCTTTGTAGCAAATCAGTGGGCTGCAACACTACCAAAAAGTAGATATTTTATGAATACTCTGCTTAAGTTGGTAAGTTGCCCAGTTGGCTTCATTTATTCTTAATATATTTTGACTCAGTTCATTTCATAAATGTACAAATAAGTCATCTCTAGTAAAATGCTGGCCAGTTTTGAGCAATCTCAGAATGCTTTTTTATTCTTTTATTTTTAAATAATCTCTACTTGCAAAAAAATTACAAATATAGTATACAAGGTGGGACAATTAAGTTTGAGAACTCATCCTAGAAAAAGTGCTATATACCTCACTGCTGAATATCAATCACTATGGTCACCTTCAAAGCACTCCCCTTGGGAAGCTGTGCACTGATGCCAGTGCTTAGTCCACCCTTCAAAGCAATTTTGGAACTCTTTCTGGAATGGCCATCAGAGCTGTCATCAAAATGTCTTCCTTTCAATATTTATTTTATCTTTGAGTAAAGAAAGAAGTCTTTGGGGGCCAGATGAGGTGAGAAGAGAGGGTGTTCCAATACAGTTATTTGTTTACTGGCTAAAAACTCCCTTACAGACAGTGCCATGTGAGCTGGTGCATTGTCGTGATGCAAGAGCCATGAATTCTTGGCGAAAAGTTCAGGTTGTTTTCGTCTAACATTTTTATGCGGGCTTTTCAGCACTTCCAAATACTAGACTTGTTTAACTGTTTGTCCAGTTGGTACAAATTCATAATGAATAATCCCTGATATCAAAAAAGGTTAGCAACATCATTACAACAAGCTCGCAAACTTTGTTGTCCAACCTCCTATGGAGGATCTGTATACATTTATTCGAGCATCATCTGATGTTAACATCTTACATAATATAGTACAATTATCAAAGTTATAAAATGAACATTAATATAATGCTATTAACTATTGACTTTATTCCGATTTCCCCAATTCTCTATTTTTATTCTCCCTCTGCTCCAACATCCAATCCAGAATTCAGTGCTGCATTTAGTTAGTTGTTTCCTTAATCCTCTCCAATGTGGAACAGTCTTTCTTTTATTACCTTGACCCTTTGAAGAATACTGGCAGTTTATTTTGTAGAATGTCCCTTAACTGAGCTTGCCCAATATTCTCTAATGATTAGATTGTAATTATGAACTTTTGGCGGGAATACTGCAGAAGGAAAGCCATGCCCTTCTCAGTGCATCACATGACAATGTACATATTGTGGATATGTCTCATTTCTCATGATGTTAACTTTGATCCCTTGGCTATGGTGATGTCTGCCAATTTTCTCCGCTATATAGTTACTATTTTTTTTCTTTTGCAATTGATGAATGCCTTCTGAAGAGGTACTATGAGACTATGTCAACATCCTCTTATTTATTTATTTATTTATTTATTTGTGTATTTATTTATTTATTTATTTATTATTTTACTGGGGAATTGGGGAAGGGGAACAGTGTTGGGGAATTGGGGAAGAACAGCCAAGTTGTTGTCCTTCAATCTCAGTTGTGCAGGGTGCAGCTAGCTCAGCTCCAAGTCCAGTCACCATCCAGCTGCCTGTCAACAGCTCCTGGCTGCTCAGCTCAAGGTGCCCCGTTCAATCTTAGTTGCGGGTGGGCATAGTCCAGCATCCCATGAGTGAGTCTAGCCAACAACCTTGTTGTTAGGAGCATGTGCTCTCACCAGCTGAGCCATCCTGCCACCTGTTGGCAGCTCAGAGGCAGCTCATCTCAGGCGCAGCTCACTGGCCCATGTGGGAATCGAACCAGCGACCCTGTTGCTCAGAGCTCATGCTCTTAAACCAACTGAGCCCCTCGGCCAGCCCAAACATCCTCTTTCTTATCATACATTTCCCCATAAATGTTAGCATCCACCAGTGGTTCTTATCTATTACAATTATTATTGTGTTATCTGCTTCTATTACACAGAAAAGTGCCGTTTCTTTTAACAAAAACAAACATTTAGCTTCATTTGGCTTTTCTGAGCCTTTTTTTTCTCACAATAAAAGGGAGTATCATAAAAAAAAGAGTATCATCTATCTATCTATCTATCTATCTATCTATCTATCTATCTATCTATCTATCTATCTATCTGTCTACCTATCTATCTACCTATCTACCTATCTACCTATATCTATCTATCCCACAGACTGTTAGTAGGGAAATGCAAAGCCTCAAGCTCCACTCCAGATTTAAACAGGAGCTCTGAGGGAGGGATCCAATCATCTGTTTCTAAATGACTCTCCAGGGGATTCAGATGCAACCAAATGTTGGGAACCAGTGAACTACAGAATTGTATTCATCACCTACCACAGCTGAACGGGGCCACTGGGACTACTGACCCAAACTTTGTAACCTCGTGTTACTGTTCTTTCAGCATCTTGTATTACTGCCTTTCATTTTGCTGCCCCCACAACATATGTGTTCTGGATCCTCACTCACCCTGGCTTGGGCTTAGTGAGCTCTCAGTAAATATTTGTTGAGTGAATGGCTGGTTTCGTTAACATGACTACCTGTCTTTGATGATTTGGATCCTGGGCTATACATCAATTTTAATCCACCTAAGTAAAATTCATTTTTTAAAAAGTCTGTATGGGCACTTAACCCTGACAGGTTTATTTATAAAACACATGTTTGTTTGTTTGTTTTTCCTCTCTGTAAATGCTTCTGTCAATTTTCTTACATCTCTTCTACCACTCAAAGAAGCAGAAAATCCATTGATTCAAAAAGTTTTGAAATTCCATTTAAGATATTAGAATACCAAAAATACAGTTTCTTAATTCCTTTGATAATTTATCAAATATTTGATAGATTAAATGTCTAAAATATCAAAAACTTTATAACTGCTTTCACCAGCTTTCTGCTAGTGTTTTGTCTACATTAAATTGTGATCCAAGCAAATCTCATTCTTTAGAACCATGGAATTATAGATTTCTAAGAGACACATAGCACAATTTTGTTCTCAACCTTGAAGCACAAGAAGTTTGAACATGTTAGCTAAGGACTCAAGTAAATGGTGTATAAGAACTGACATTTGCTCTAACTGGTCATAATTATAACACTAGTCATCAGTTGTAATCAAAATGTGCTTAGCCTAAAATTATCAATTGGCTGCATAGGTTAAGGCTCAAAACAAAGAGGTAATCAGAAAGCTAAGGGGTGAGCATAAAAATAGGGAGGTAAGAAGGTAATACTTTACAGAATATTACATTTGGTCTATGTTGAAAAATGGAAATGTCTTTCCCAATTTCTAAGCATTAAGATTGTTTGACATCTGAAGGACTAGATATAGTAATAGGAGTTAGAAATTCTTTCCATATACTTTCTTTAGTAATTTATCTTCTGAAATCTCTGTTGGCTACAGAGTTGATTTTAATTTCGTACCATTTCTAAATAACTGCCTGACTAATCTATGGACTACTAGTTAATTGAAATCCAAGATATTTCTTTTATCATGACTTAAACTTAATTTCCTTTACACCCTATTTCCTGAAATCCATCCTGATTTAAAGCTTTGTGTTAAGTCGCTTTCACTATTTGTTGTAATCAGGTTTGTTTTTCTGTTTTCTTTTTCCTTTTTCTCTATTTTAAATTCCAGAGAGGAAAGTCAGTTCTTTCAGTGGTTTTACTCTAGTGAAGTGTATGAAACGATGCAGTTTATTTAATATCCCCAGTGTTACAATTCAGTGGATCTGTGTGTTGTTTACCTACTGTCTGTTCAACATCACCTCTGCCAACCAAAACCATTTAAAGAATAAAGAATATCACTATAATTTGTGACAAGTTT